AAGCAGATCACCCGCAAAAGTCTTTTTAAAACAGCTTTGAAAAGCAGATAATTCACACAAAAGATAATTTATTATAAGATTCCAAAAAGGGTCCAGTGAGTGATCCTTGACCAAAGCCCTTTTCCAAACTAGTCTTTTGTAATATCACTTACAGAAGGACCTGAAGTGCGAGTATCCAAAAAATCCTTCATCAAGTAGATGATATCTAGGTACATTAGGCAAATTTCCATAAATTTAAGATTCCTAATATTGTTAAAAGCTCCTTTTATAACCAGAAACATCAAAACCGTGACGGGTTTCCCATTTACTTACAAAAGCGAAGAACTTAAGCTGAACACCGAGGCGTAAAGCCATATCAATCGCGCTTTGAAACATTTCTACTTCTTTAAGTACCAGATGATTCTGTTTATATAATTTTTTTCGAGACATTTACTTAAGCATGGCAGAAGGCATGTGATATGTGATATTTTCGATACTAGACCGCTTAACTTCATTATTTTTAGGAAAAGTCTTACTTTTAGCTTTCTTCCACACCACTGGAAAGAGTTTCTGATGAAGACAAGCATTAAATAATTTATATAAGATAGATGGACAAACATCATGAAGATTCCGAATCATCTATCATTCTCTCCGATCCAGGAGTTTTACTTAATTTTAAACTCTTAATAACATCATTAACTTTCGAAAATGGAAAGTCATCATCTGCATCACAAAAAGAAGTCATCTCAGAGAGGAAATTTTTATGAATTTCCTCATCGGTCTCTAAGCTGAAAACTTTTTCAGCTTTAGTTTAATGACATTAATTTTCCGATCGAGTTGTTCCCAAAGTTTTCAAAACTTATTTTAATATCGAAACTTATTTTAAACTTATTTTAATATTTTTTATCATAACTTATTTTAATATCTTAGCAGTTAGTAAATAAATTAGAATATTCGAGGTTTGTTTTTCTTCTTTAATGTCATTCAATGATGCATTTTTGTGATTTATTAGTGTCTTTAAATTATAATTTGTACTGCATTCTATATGTCAAAATAATTTTCACGCAAGAAATTTATCAATTATCAAGTCTAAAAATACCTTATTAATATTCTAATTAAGTATTTTTTTAACCTTAGAATTATCTACTTATCGTACAAAACGTTCATAAACATATATCGTACAAAACGTTCAAATATGTTTTCTTTTAATTCATACAAATAATATTATTTAGTTGGTTGCGTACAAGTACTGATGCCAGCCAAAAATATAATGATCTATTAATCTCTGCAGATCAGATGCATTTTCCTAAAGTGATATTTTATTTTTAATTAAACGCACACGCAAACATTTCGCTGTTCAAGTTTTGTACGCCGCTGAATATAATCCCACTTTTAAACTTAAATATTCGAACGAATGAGGTAGTTGCATCAGTGTTTTTCCATGGGTTTTAACATGTATAACAAGTCAGCTCCTTTAGAAAGTGCTCCATGAAGGCAACCTTCCCTTTAGGCTATAACCTTGCATACTTTGCCATATCCAACAAACCTACCTACGCTATGTAAATCGGCTCTCTCGCAATGGCATCTCGCGTAGGGGTAAGAAAGGAGAAATAGAAAGAGTTATAAATTACATTTGTTACACTACAAAGTATAATTTAATTTTCTAAGGCATAATACATGCTGATTTTATTTCTATGTTTTGTTTAATTCAGTAATTTAACGTGTTTGGAATAAGAAGTGAAGTAAGAAAAGATCAGTAAAACTTATTGTTTTGTTCTCTGGTATTTGTATTTGTATATCACACTGCTCTTCCGTTCTTCATTGTTTTGTTATGTAAGGGTTTTTTAAAGTTATAGAAAAGAAAATGTTAAGAGCACTATTTTATTTAATAAAAGATGAAGACATTTTAAGCACAATTTTTCAAAGTATTGCAATTATCGTCATTTTGAATTTTGCTACGTGCTGCCATCTGTTGCCGATTGCTGCAACTAAGATAAACAGAAGTACCATTTCTAGTTACATGGAGGAAAATTATTACAATATTTTATATTTTTTATGAAGCGGTAGTAATATTTGATATAAGCAATGTTTTCTAATTTTGTAATTAACAAAATTCCTGAAAAATTTTTAACTTTTTTTTTACTAAACAGTTCATACACATATTTCAAAAGAATAATTTAAAAAAAATTTATCATGGCTTAAATTCAGAGTTCATTAAAGTTCGACTTCCGTAATTCTCAGTCTTTAAATAAAATTGTATTGCAGCCGGAGCCCAACCCGGCACTCCGAAAAAAAAAAAAAAAAAGCTGCAATATTTTAATTTAGTAGTTAACAGTTTTTCATTAATTTAACTTAATTTATTTATTTGTTTAATTTTATTTCTTCTTTTAATCCCTTATATCTTATTTATTTCAATTTGTTTACATTTCCTAACGGCTTTCCATACAGTTAATATGCTTCTAAGTTTAGAAATTAAGCTCAATTTTTAAAAGATTGCATAAAAATTTAAATCGGAAACATCCTATGCTACTTCAAAATATTAACAGAGCCTTAGAATAGTCTAAAACGTCTGAAACAAAGTACTTCAACGATCAGCAGGATATCAATTTTTCGAAAACTGATTTCATAAATACTATAAATCGTGACAGACTAATAATAGCATACTCCATTTTTCCAAGCACTATATGAAGTTTCTGGTAAGAAGGGTCGCTGAACAGTGGTAGTTCGGTCCGAGGTTCAAATCCCGCGAACGGGCTGGCTGCATGGGCGTTTTCGTGGTTTTCCCCATGTGTGACGTGCATACGAGCCAGTTTCCCTTAGAAAGTCCTCCACGAAGGCATCCCTTCCCTTATGCACATAGCCCTAGTGTGCTTTGCCGTATTCTCAATAAACCAACACCATATTTGTTTTCTAAACGATTTTACGAATACGTGTTAAGAAATTTGGGTATGAAAGAAATGCCTCAGTTAAAAATTTCTAAATTCAAATTATATGAAATAAAGCTCAAAAACATTTAATTTTAAGACAAAGTAATATAAATAAGATATCAAATTTTATTTTATTTAAATTGGCATTTTTCATTTTAATAATACTTTGGAGTTCATTAAGTGAAACTCATATTCACAGTACAGAAACTCTACGTTTATTGTAAGTTATCTAAGAGTGCAAGGTAAGAGTATTTCATAGCACTATTTTATTTAATAAAAGATGAAGACATTTTAAGCACAATTTTTCAAAGTATTGCAATTATCGTCATTTTGAATTTTGCTACGTGCTGCCATCTGTTGCCGATTGCTGCAACTAAGATAAACAGAAGTACCATTTCTAGTTACATGGAGGAAAATTATTACAATATTTTATATTTTTTATGAAGCGGTAGTAATATTTGATATAAGCAATGTTTTCTAATTTTGTAATTAACAAAATTCCTGAAAAATTTTTAACTTGTTTTTTACTAAACAGTTCATACACATATTTCAAAAGAATAATTTAAGAAAAATTTATCATGGCTTAAATTCAGAGTTCATTAAAGTTCGACTTCCGTAATTCTCAGTCTTTAAATAAAATTGTATTGCAGCCGGAGCCCAACCCGGCACCCCCGAAAAAAAAAAAAAAGCTGCAATATTTTAATTTAGTAGTTAACAGTTTTTCATTAATTTAACTTAATTTATTTATTTGTTTAATTTTATTTCTTCTTTTAATCCCTTATATCTTATTTATTTCAATTTGTTTACATTTCCTAACGGCTTTCTATACAGTTAATATGCTTCTAAGTTTAGAAATTAAGCTCTATTTTTAAAAGATTGCATAAAAATTTAAATCGGAAACATCCTATGCTAAGGAAAATAGCATTCCTTTCCTAAATGCATGTTCTTTCAGCGCTAAATTTAAAGTACTCATTAGAAAAATAGTAATTTTGCAGCTGTACTCGTAGATTTTGCATTACCAACCCCTTTTAAGTACAAAATATAACAAATATGATACCCGCATCAGATTTTTTGGTACACATCAAATTTTGTGGTTGGTGATATCTTTGTACGGCCTATTATACAATATTGTATATATACTATTATTGTATATAAATTATACACATTTTTTGCTGTACTTCAATACACTTCCATTTACAGAAGTGTATTAAATGACGAGGAGTATTTCAGGTTATTCTAACTTAATTCACCGATTACTCAAGGCAAGATGAAAATGACATTAATAATTTCAAAATTTTAAACTAAATATCCTGGTCAATTTTTGGTCGTATGGGATCAAAATTCTTATAATTCTATTTAATTGTTACCGAGTACTGCCGAGTACTGAAAGTTAGATTATGCTATTTTGTCGAAAACTGTTTTTTTTTTTTTTTTTTTTTTTTTTTAAATGCCAAACCGTGGATACTTTCGTCATTTAATACACTTCTGTAAATAGAAGTATATGACTACGTTAAAAAATGTAAATGGAAGTATATGACTAAGTTACGTAGCGAAAATGAGGGCCCGGTATATATATATATATATATATGTTGGTAATTGTTAGTTTCACTAAAAAAAAAGAGGATACATAAATAGACGTTATAATAGTCCCATACATAAAATTTCAACGTTCTACAGCTAATTTATTTTGAGTATGCGAAATACGTAATTATGTACGTATGGCATACATAAGTATAGACGTTATGAAATAATCTCTTCTGAATCCATTTTTAATGCATTTTTCAATACGTTTTGGAAAAAAAAAAAAAAAAAAAAAAAAAAAAGAGGTCTTTATTTTGTTCATATGAATAGACATCACGCAAAACAAAATCATTTTTAAATCGATTCTGGAATGGTCAAAATGGTATATTTATGTTGAAATATAATACCTGAAATTGTTCGCGACTACAATACTCCCTTTACTTCCTAAAAGGTAGTAAACATGCGCTTAATAGATCTGTAATAAAAACTAAAGAGCGGATGTTTACTTCCTAAAAGGTAGTAAACATGCGCTTAATAGATCTGTAATAAAAACTAAAGAGCGGACATACTTACATCCCCCTTGGGTGGTAAGACTGACGACATCGCTTGGATCGCTTCTTCCCACGTCATTGTAAGCAATGATATGGAATTGGTACCGTGTGCCACAATTAAGTGATCGAAGAGTATAAGAAGTCTGTGATGGTTCAGGGATTTCAATTTCATCCCATTCAGGAAGCTCGGCTTTATAAAATAATTTGTAACCTGAAAAGGGATTATACTTTTATATAAATAACATATAACAGTGTAATTAAACAAATAATAATTTTGTAAGAATCAGGAAAAGTTTTATTGTAAAATGGGTCAGAAAAGATTATTTTTTCTTCTACTTACTTTGCATAGAACTAAATACCAATTACAGAACTAAATACAATTTGACGATAAATATTAGTTTAAAATATTTCTGCAAAAAATCGCAGTCAAGGTAATTGGAAAGGAATTTTTAAATTATCTTCACTCTTCACACTGTTAACTTGATAAATCCAAATTTGTACAAGATTATAAATTTTAAGCTGTTTTTCAAAATTATAGGAAATAATAGAAAAATTATAGAAAATCAATACAATAATTTGAACAATTTTGGAAGATAAATTGCTTTAAGAGAAAACTTTAAACAATTATATATCTAATAATTTGCAAATGAACCTGTTCATGTTTGCATAATGAAATAATTGTCCTCTCCGTATAGTTCAAATGTAAATATTGAATGATATTAGAATAATGCACAGAGTGGGTACTAAAGAGCTTTAAACTGTATTGAATAATGAATACTTTCAAAATTCACTAGACTCTTTATGCAGAAGAATGCTCATTGTCTAGTGAAGATTGCTTAATGAATCATTCCAGTATAACTTATTTTAGCAAATTATGAATAAATAAAGAAGATAAGTGTCGATTGCATTGACAATTTATATCAAAAGTATGTAAATAAAATACTCAGAATGAAGTGAAACAAAAGGACAATTAATGGCAATAAAATCAAAGGAAATACGTGTTAATTGAAAAGATAAAAATAAATGCCATAATTTAACTATACATTCGCAGGGAAAAAATGGAGAAGAAAGTGTATTTAAATTTGTAGCAATAATGGTTTTTTTTTCATAACTTTCTTATAAAAGACAGTTAATATTTTAAAATCAGTATGCCCTTCCATACATTTGTTTCATCAATATTTCCTTTCATCTTATCTTTAAGCCTCCTTCTTCTTTTTCTTTAAACATTATGTATATGTGTTTGAAATACTTTTGGTATAGATTAATAACACTAGTAATGAATTATTAATATTTAATAAATACCGTAGCTTAAAATCATCTACACATATTAATGAAGATGTACTGTACAACTGTAAAAGGCCATAAAAGGAAACTTAACTTAATTTGATTAAATGGTAAGTAAATGGTGGTACTAATGTGGGAAAAAATAGATGCTAATCTGCAATCAACTTACTAAACTTTTATTAAAAATTTATATTTATCTTCAGAAACAGGATATTCGCTCTGTTTGTCATTTAAATATTAATAAAAATGTGCGCAGACTTTATCAGTGTTTCATGGTACTATTTTATTTACCATCTTTTAATAGTACTTTGATATGTCCAAAACGCAACTTTCCGATATAAGGTATTCAAAAACTCTGTAGTTAGTATATTTTTATATGATTCAAAGTAAATAATATCATGATCTTAATATAAAAGTGTATCTTAAACAACGTTATTTAACTGAATGTTTTGCTTAATATAGTTTTCATTATTTATTTACAAGAAGAAACAATATTTAAACGAAAAATCTATAATACTATTTAGGATCGCTTCACATACTCTAGTGAAAATTTTGGTAGCGTGTGGTGTCGCCATCTGTTGTTCGCTAAATCAAACACAAAATTTATTTTTGTCTCGTTTCGCCATCTATCAGTTAATTGTCGAAAATCAAACTTTGGAAACATGATAGATGTCAACAAATTAATCAGCCTTCCAAGGTAAAAGGTTTTGGGCTCATAAATATACGTTCAGCATATTTTAAATTAATTTAATTAATTTTTCAACAGTTGAACTTTTTATTAATATCCAAACACATAACAGAAGGACATTGTGCTTTATTTTGTGTTTTCAATTACATAGCATTCAGCATCAAATTTACTTTAATTGCAGAAATTTCTTCCTGCATTTCAAGTAAATTTGGCATAAATCTGTCTTTCTCTCTAAAAGGGTTTCAGAGTACCTTAAAATAAGACGAGTATTTTTTAAAATATAGCTTTAAACAAAGATTAAATTTTCTTAATTTTAATGTTTGATTCATTCCTTTGCCCTCTTAGCCCACACACATATATATACAGTGTCCAAAAAAGTGTCCTTACTCGGCCTTTACTATCATAACTGTCACAGCTCTTGCACTTCCAATTACAAATATAATTTAAATGCCTCAAATATATATGTTTCGGGCATTATAAAAGTTAATGTAATCAATTTCGTAAAAATTAGGAAACCTAGCATTGTATACGTCCCTATAGTCCTATAATATTCTTATATTTAGCAGAAATTTTTACTCCTTTGAAAAATAGATTTACTTGTTTTAAAAAATTATCATTTTAATGCGACACTGAAAGGATTATTTATTAAAAAATATTATAATAATTTGACGATGTTTTTTTTTTTTTTTTTTCTCCCTTCAGCAAAATCCAATCATGCTTTTTGTGATTTCTATCTCTCTGAGCGGGAATGCTGAATACATATCGAGTAAAATATTTTTTGTGATGTCTTTAAGAAAATATATACATAAGTGAATCTTGAAATATATCCAAGAAATCATGGTAATTATATTATACGTCCAGATATAAAATACCAGTGGCATTTTGAGATTAAAATCATGAAAGAATTTCTTTCTCTTGGCAGTTTTGGGAAAGCCAAACTCCGTACGAGTAAGGCGGCTATTGTCTTTAATGTATTTAATATTACATTTATGATAGAGAAAGAATTCTCACCTAAGTAATTTAGAAGTCTAAAAATACGTTATTAATACTTTGAAATAATAAACTGGAAATCGTACCGAAAGACTTTTAAAGTACAAATATTTTTTTTTTCTTTCATTTTAATTCAGATCATTCAATTAAGATAATATTATAGTTTCAGGTGCGAATTTCTTTATTTGAGAAATAACAAGGCAATATTTTCCTGTTAAAGCCCGAGCTTTGTCTCTATGTACAGCACTGCACTTATTCAAAGGAATATCATTCTCAGACATAAAATTGGCAATTTGAAAAATTCATTTACATCTGATCTATCACGAAAAGATTCGCAAAATAAATACTCTTCGGTTATTTGTTTATCTTCTTCGAAACGCATGTAAACTAATAGTTGAACAAAGATTATTATACAATGGTACTTCGATATACGAGTGCCCTAATATACGAGTGTTTTGAGATACGACCCGCCGAGCATATTTTGCTTTGAGATGAGAGCAAGATTTGAGATACGAGTTCTGGAAGGACCACTTTAACATCATTATATGCCTAAGTATTATTGATCAGGCCTGGCTGGGTGTTACAACGAGGACCTTAACCTCTGCATGGAAGAAACTGGAAGAAGCTGCATGGAAGAGGCTGTAGATGAAAGGGCCTTCGAAGGATTGGAACCCCAAGTGTCAGTGGTAGAGGAGATTATTTCTCTGGGAAAATCCATGGGTCTGGAGGTGGATGAGAGATGTGAACGAACTCGTCGAGGAACAGTCTTAGGAGCTGACAACCGAGGAATTACACGATCTACATTCGCAGCAGCATACGGTGGTTCAACGAAAAATTAGTTTTGAAGAGGAGCCAGAGATGGAGGAGGTTATTCCTAGAAGAGATATAAAGGAGATCTTGGAAATGTGGGAGAAAGTTGTAGATTTCGTGGATAAAAATCACCCCGAAAAAGTTGCAACTGGTCGTGCATCGGAGTTGTTCAACGAAACTTGCTTAATTCACTTCCGCAATATCCTGAAAGAGAGGAAGAAACCGACATCCTTGGAAAATTTTTTTTAACGATCTGCAGGTGAAAATGAGCAAGGCGTGACGAAAAAAGCGAAGACCAGTGACGAAAATTAACCGCTTCCGTAAGCACTTCACTTTTTTTTAATTATGTTTTTATAGAATATGTATTTTTTATTTATAAATAAATGTTTCTTCTTGTAAATACATTTTTCCTATTCAAAAACACTTAACACAAACAACTGAGGTGGTGATTTGGAAGCTGGAACGGATTAATAGCATTTCAATTAATTTCAATGGGAAAAATTGCTTTGAGATACGAGCAGTTTGACATACGAGCAAGGTTACAGAACGAATTAAACTCGTATGTCGAGGTACCACTGTATCAGTACTTTCATTCAATTGTAACGCGTAATACTCACTGCGTTTTATTTTTTTAAATAAGAGTCTCTTTTATGGAATCTGCCATTTCATGAATTCGTCGAATTACTGTATCATTTGATAATGGAATATTTATTAAGTTCATCAGCTGCATATTTCGTTGAATAATGTTAAAATGCTACCTTTAACTGCTGGTAATACCATGTGAGCCCGCTTAGTTTTACCAATTCTTAGGCTTAATAGGTAAGTAACTTCCAAAGCTTTTTCACTTCGAGAAACAAAGCCTTTCATTACTTGTTTGCTATTTTGAACTCCGACAACTTCCTCTTAAAATATTCTTCAGCTTTAAACTGCTATGCTTAGATTTAAGATCTCTTTTAAGAAACGGTGGTTTCATACATTGATTGCATAATAGTTCACCGCAGAAGGATCCACTACATCTCCATTTCAAGTAAACTCATATGATATATAACTTTCATTATATTTTTTATAATTTTTTTTCTTTTCTTTTCAATATTCTTAGTGTTAGTAGATTATCTTGGATCCATCACCTGTGAATTGACGCTGTTGCACTTACTTAATCCTAGCCATTTTTCCATTTTGAAAATCTCGATTTATTTTATTATTTTTTTCACGAATATTTAAATGCACAATATATTACGAGTTCTTCAAAAGCAAACGCCGATATTCTCGAAACGCGTAGAATAGTAAGGAATACAAAACAAAAAGCAAACAAAACACATGCAAACAGCAAATTGACTTGAAAAAATTATTCTAATTTAAATAGAGCAGTATGAGCCCGGAAATGGTGGCGGCGCAAAGTGTAGACATACTAATAAATCGATCAACTCTTAAAAGAATTAATGAGATACAATTATCTTTTTATAGGAATTTATTTTTATTTCCTATTAAATACAACATTCATTTCTGTTACTCCTTTTAAAACATCATTTATGACAATTTTTTTAAGTCTGTAGCTAAAAGAATATTTGTGAAAATAAAAACGGATTATCTTGCTAAAATCTATGAGAGGCTATCGACGTTGAACAAACCTCAGATCACATAAATTTACGACTGTTAGGAAAAAAAAAAAAAAAAAAAAAAAAAAAAAAAAAACTTAAACAGAATGTTGGGGTATTTAACTTTTGAATTTAATAGTTAAAAATACTTTGTTTCTTTGCGTACCAAATATTTTTCTCTTACCTACCACTGGCTCAGAACCGCTGATTTATACTATTAATTTTGAAATATTTAAACTCTTGTTTATAATATATATAAATATATATATATATATTATATATATATATATATATGTCTCACTCTCGGTATCTATGTTATGAAAGCACAATTTTGGAACAACTGATGTAGAAACAATTAGACGTAAAAACGCAGAAATACTGATGGCTTAGATACTTGATGCTTAGAGCGTTGGCCCATACTGAAGAGGAACGAGTCGAGATGAATTAAACTCTTTTTTTTTAATTTAAATTCCCATTTGTGGCCACAGTTCACTTGGCACTCAAGTCATGCCTGTTTGCAGAACATTTGCGATATTATGGCCATGGAAAGCGAACATAGATGACTGCAGCAGCGTCTTAACAGGATGAAAGCGTAAGCGAAAAGTGACACAGTGACTCAGAGGAAGAAGGGAGAGAGTCAAAGTTTACGTTCGAGCTAGAAAAAAACTTTGGTTTACAATTATTTGATTGGGCAAGAGGTATCTGCATTAAGTGTTACGTAGGATCACATGATTAATTTGAATGACGCAATTTAGACTTAAAGCGCTATTTTTAAGATCGAGAGATGATATCCCCAAATTAAATAAAAAATAAGAGAGGTTAGAGCCAATTAAAATTAGAAGTTTGCTTTCATATTTTTTATCTTACTTATATATTTAATTGCTAATTTATAAAGAGCATATATATATATATATATATTATAAATATGCAATTATATTTACATATCTATTTATACATATTTATAAGAGCAAATAAAAAGAGAGAGAGAAAAAGGAATAAATACCTTTCACTGGGTTGCTGTCAACTGCAGAAATTTCCCATGCAAGGATAACAGCTGATGATGTGGAAGAGACTATTCTTAGAGTTGGTGAAGGAGGAGGATCTTGGAAAGATTCAAAGAAGAAAAATAAGTTTTGTCATTTCGAAATAAAAAAGGGACAGTTTTAAACTTTTGTAGGAATTTAGAAGTAAATAAATTTATAAATTTATTAACGAATAAAATATTCCACACTTTAAATTCTGTTTGCCTTAAAGTAACATATGAGGTAAGAAATAACTAACAAAATTCTAATTCTTTACAGAAGCATCTTATGGAAATATATTTTAATATTTTATAAGGTATTTTCTCTCCTCTTTTCGCGTACCTTCGTGGTGCAGTTTCAAGTATACTCGGCACGTATTCGAAAGGTCCTGCTGTTGACCATTTATACTATAAGGCATCTAATTTTCTTTTACATTTTATTTTGCTGTTTTTTAATAGTACTATATTTATAATTAAATATTGTGTTCTTTTTCTTATGGTGAATTTTGTTTTGAAACTAGAGTAGCTGCCAATCTTGAAATATGAATAACCAGGGATATTATTTCTGCATAGAGAGGAATTTCAATGAAAAAACTGACTTAAATCCCTACTTAGTAAACTGATTAAAACATAATTCTGATATTAAATTTATTACTTTAATTGCCTGGTTTAAATTTCGGTTTTTTTTTTTTTTTTTTTTTTTTTTTTTTTTTCAGAACTCTTCCATGAAAAGAAATAGTTTAAATTGAATAGAAATTAAGCAGAATACTGTGCTGAAAATCAAGAGAAAAAATTGGGTTTACACAATATAAGATTCATTTAAAAATTATAGAGGTTGAATTAGTGCTTATATTCACATATTTATTTATTTATGTATTTATTGTATTTGTTATCAAAATTTGCTTTATAGCATTTCTTTTTTTTTAAACATTGTGATAAAATTTCTCCTATTTACATTTGAAAGGGATAACTTATTTTGTTATAGAAAAACCCTCGGGATTTTAAAATGTACCAGGAGATCCGAAAATATGGATATAAATCAGAAATTTTCAGGTTTTGCTGGGATGATTGGTAGCTCTAAAAAGCAGTAGCATATCTTACGTGTAGATAGATATGTACTTACTAGACGGGTGTTTTAGTCCCAATGAATATTTGACAGCATTAGAAAGAGATGTGCAATATATTAGATTAATAAGAAACGATTCTTAAACGATATTTAAATTCTCAAAACCTCGTTGTTGTTCTAAATATTACATTCAAAGGAGAGTGGTAACACATTATATACAATAATCATTGAAGCCTAAGAATAGCAGCTTACAAATTATATGCAGCCAGTTAAATAGAAGTTCTGAGCTTCCATATCACCACAAATTTACCATAAATAGAATTTATATGCAAAATAAAAAAGTAAGTAAAAATCGATTTTATAGAAGCTGATTTCCTCAGAATGTTTTTTTCTCTCAGAATTCGACTGAATATTTTTTTCTGTTTGAAGAAGAAGGATCTTGTTGAATGACTGCATCGAAAATGTCAGTTTATTCTAAAATCAGTGTTAATCTCAGATTCACTTCATCTAATTTGGATGATTTGTTTCACTTCGTCTAATTTTTCGTCTAATCTTAATAAATGCTATAACATTTACAAATTACATAACTTTCCTTACGTAATTTGTAAATGTTGTAGCATTTACTGTTATATATAAAACATTACGCAACTGAATAACTCTTGAATGGCTTGTGGTAGACACTTCTATTTAATAAATGAGTTTATTAAAACTATGAAAATGTCGATAAAATCATATATTAAAGTAATAGTTAAATGTAAATTCTGCATATACATATAATTTATTTACTAAAGAATGCGGAATTAGTTCTGCATATATTAGTTATTTCTGCATATATATGTAATAAAAACAAATTTAGAAATACTAGAAAACAAAAAACAAACAACGGAGAAATACTGATGGCGTAGATTTGCGGCGGACCACAGGACAGCAGACAGGAGACCATCAACAGAGCAACTGCACCATCATTACGACTTTCAGCTTTTGTGCTCTATTGATGGAAACTATCTACCATCCGCTATCAGAGGTATTTATTTGAAATAAAATTTTACAAAGTTACAATGGTTGTGCAAGTATACATATGACATACAGAAACATATTATTGCGGCGGACCACAGAAAGATAAGAAAACCCTGTGTGCGGTCCCCGCAAGTCACAGTTCCCAAGATCTTACGACATGTCACACGACATAGTCTGACATCACAGACGCAATAATTGGTTTCAGTTGACAGTGCAAAAGACATAACTTCACGACCAGTTTCAAGAAGCAGGCTGAGATCGTTCCAGATATAGAGAGTCAGAGGAGGTAAAATACTACTGAAAAATTAAGGAGGCGTAGCTAATTCAGGTTGAAGATTTTTTCCACAGGAACAACACGTAGAATGGTTCTTGAACTCTCAACTAGAGACATCCTCGTTAGCAGGTTCCTCAAGTCACGAGGATTATACTTTACTAAAATAATTATTCTATACTATCCATGAATAATATATATATATATATATATATACATATGTTACGGTGAAACACCGAAATCTGGAAATTGTCGAATTTCACGGTGAATGTCAACATTCACATAGTCGCTTGGTGTGTGTCCGAAATATTTTCCAAATACTCTTATTTCTGACTTACACCGGTGAATGTCGACATTCACCATGTACTAATGGAACATATAACAACATATAACAATATGTTGAATGTTATAAGAATATTATATTTCCTTCTGCGTAATTCATTCGCGAAAAAACGCACTTGATACTCAGAATAAGAACTTAAGAACTAAGAACTTAAAACACACAGTGTACATTCAAAATGAGAAAGGAAAATAATAGAAGTTATAAAACTTACTAAAATTACGTGATTCAAATCTTATTTATTGCAAAAACTTAAACTCTTATGACACTTTCAATTGCACAAGAGGCCCTTGCTTTTACAACAGCATTTATTTGTGGAACACTTCCTTTTGCAATGACAGCGTGTACATATACTCCTCTCTTTTCAACCTACACCAGAGCATATCTGTGATTGTCGACATACACCGGTGAGGGTCCGAATGTACAAGAATGTAATGCAATATTCGATCTTTCACCGACGTATTTGGTGAATGTTGACATTCTCCGGTGAAAGTCGACATTCTCCAATTTCGGTCTTTCACGGTAACATATATATATATATATGCAGAGAGCTTCTCTTAATTGTAATAAATATGTTTTTGAGTTCAGAAGTGCACTACTTGCTGCCAGTAACCACATACCATACTGAAGAAGAAGGATTCTGATTGCGTAATATGCTTTAATGTTGAATCGATAGTGATTAAGAAATTTGGCAGTCAAGGCGTATTAAATTCCATTTTTATTTAAACTGGCATTTGTGGCCATAATTCACTTAAAACTCTAACCGTGCCTATTTCTAGAAGATTTACATTTTGGATACTAACTTCTGCCACAGAAAGAGAGCAAAACGAAACAGCGTTCACACAGCACAAAATTTAAATCTAAAGTGCGCATTTAACCAATATGGAAGAACCTGGTTTGTTTTGGGGGGGTCAGAAAGGTTTCAGTTCTCGAAATTTTTAGTTTATTTTCCGAGTCATCTACGTCATCAACCTTACGCAAGCCATGCGACATAAATTTATCTAGAAGTGACGCAGTCCAGAATTATTATTATTTTTTTTAGAATAAAGAACAAATAACCAAGTTAAAAAGGGAGAATTAAGAGGCTACTACTAAATTAAATTATAAAGCTGACATAAATACTTTTATCTTACACACACACACACACACATATATATATATATGTAAGACATAATAAAATACGATGGCTACGTTAGGAAATAATTGGCAACCTCAAAATTGACTATTCTAAATTTGGTGTTCTCCCCCCAAGTTCACCTTTTCTCCCAAATCCGAAATCTTTCCAAAATCGTATGATCGTCATATAACGCTGCTTGCAAAGAGTACTAAAACCTAAAACGCAGCTTAGCTGTACAGATGCACAAGCCTAGTATAAATACTGCTTCGTGAGCAATTACGTCATTCCTTCTTAACTTCTCCTGCCCTACCAAACATCTCTGCGCTGCCATGCTTAATTGTCTTCCTTGTTCTGTATCTAAGAATCCGGGTACAAAAACAATTATTGTATTTAACTATGATCGAAAAATATCTTGTCTACAAAAAATTATTGGATGTGCATTACCATGGAATAAAATTATGGTTCCAAGCGGCCACGTCTGTCTTCGAGTATTATCTTTCTAACTACATAGTTAAGCCTCTCCAACGCAAATCCGTTGCAACTTTCTTTCTTCAAGACAAAACATCACATATATATATATATAGTACAAACACACAAAATTTACGTTTTTACACTTGTCTTTCGCAAGGAAAATTCTTGCCGATAAACTGTTTATTGAAATTAATCAAAATTAAAATGTAACTCCGCTACATGCAAAATTGGCCATAGAAAACTGAATACCTAATACTACGTATGTAAAATAGAAAACGGAAAAATATGCTTCTGGATTTGTGAACAAAAGGCAATTTTTTTAAAAAAAATCTGTAGTGGAAATGACAAGATGTACAATATTGATGGGATGACGATATATCTTTTATTGTTAGGCTATGATTAGGCTATGATTTTTCCCTCACGGATATAATTAATGTGACCATTTTACAGATATAATTTTAATGTGACCATATACTATTTTAATTTTTGAATGATTTCGCTAAAAGGGGTCACGTTGCCAGTTTTCTCAATTGGAAAGCGAACATTATTTGATTTAAAATGGAACCATTATCTTTCAAGAAATATTCAGTTTCACATCTTTTAAACTTTCCTATTCCTATTTGCAGGAAGTTAAGAGATTTACAGTCGCCATAGACAAGAAAATAACTTTTTTCCGGATGATTTTCTCAACAAATTTCTGAAAATATTTATTGCAACTCTAAACAAAATGGATGCTCTCGAAACAGACCGTATCTATTCTTAAACCTGAAATGAATAATATCTTAAAATTTTATCACTGCTTCAATATAAAAATGCATTTTCGTTCACGAGGTAACATATAACTAGTCTAAGAAATAAGGATTTATGTGAATTTTCGAGGTAAACTACAAAATATATTCCTAACGTTTCTTTTTATTTTATTCAGAGTTTTACTGCGTTTTACACTTTTGTGATTTCTGCTCTGAATATGATATATAGCGACTGAACACCAAATGAGGTAGAAACTCAGTGGGAAAATTCTGCAGTCGAAATTTCCCTTTCGAAAACTGGCAACAAAGGAAAGTTTGAAAGATATCGATTTTGTAAAGAGCTAAGTCACTGCTGTATCCAAAATCTTGAATTTCTATAAAGACAAAAAGCAGTAAAATACCAATACAGAATGTTTTTAAATACACTACTGATGAAATAAAATCTTTAAGAAAGATGCAATTGAATTTAAACTTTTAGAAACGGAAACTTACACGAAAAGAAATAGCATTTTCCGTCGAAAAAGCAATGGCATTGATCAGCGTACGTATATTTCTGTTAAGCTTTTTGCTTGAATAAGTAATATCTTTTCTCTCCTTCGTACGAGCAAAATTAAATTACACAAATAACTCTTTTCTGTAGATATTCAGATTGGGCGAAGAAGAAGAAAAGGCGGCTGAAATATTTTCCAATAATGCAAATTAAGCAAAAGTATAGTGACTGAAATATTAAGCTATTTATGAAAGCTGTACTTATTATTAATGTTTAACAGCATTACTAAAATTAATATGCAAGACTATTTATACCGATTCACATACAAAATAAATACAGCTAAATAAATATATAATAATTTATTTAGCTGAAGCTAAATAATATATTTAATTGCACATAATAATAGCTAAATAAATATAGAAGTATAAATTATACAATTTTATTATACACAACTTATTTTATATTGTTAGGAAATGTCCAGCCGTGGTGGGATAGCTTCCCCGCAAAGCAGGTTTAAGGTTGCCATAAAATAGCAAGGAAAGGCAGGGTTGACATATTTGGCGAGAAACCACCCATTTGGCAACATTTGGCGAAAACATTGGCGATATACCATGAATGGATGGCGAACCTTTTGGAACGAATTCTTACCGGTGCAGTCCAGAATGTTCTCGAACACAAGCCGAATGCTATATAAACCCTGCTGGTGCGCAGTCAGAGAATGTGCCTCGTCTAGCGAGCTGATAGTCACTCACTGAGCGAGTGTCTGAAAGTCTAGCACCGAGTTGGTCGTCGAGTGCATCGAAAGAGTCTCTTAGTGTATCGCGGTTAGTGCATCGTCGAGAGAGTGTGTTGAGCTCCGGGAACGACTGAACCGTTGAGTCGCGAGCTGTGCTCTGTGTGTCGTCGAGTGCATATCGAGTCGTAGCGTGGAGAGTCTCGAGAGTACGTGGAGTTCCGAGAACGACCAAGCAGAGTCAGGAGCTGTACTCTGGTGCAGTGAAACTGTCTTCACCGTGATAGCCTGATTGCCTGAAGGCTGTGTCCCTGATTCTTCCAGAGAGTTTATAGTAGATCTTTGACGACTGTAAAACGTGACTTTGGAGCTGTCCTGATTAATACCGGCCAATAAAGTGTGTTTCGATACTTCATCAAGTAGTGTCGTCGTTATTCACTCCAAATCCACACGAACCCCGTACGAACGTGAAGGAAGAAAATAACGTGACAACTGATGTCAGAAAAAAACGCAACTATATGCTCACAGATGCTTCTTATAGACTGATATTATACATTTAAGGGATAACAATCGTTAATTCTTTCATATCTTTTAGAAAAATATGAAAAGGTAAATATGCAGAACTCCAAAGAAAATAAAATAAAAAAAAATAAATAAATAAAAATAAAAATAAACATCCAAGGAGAAATCCGCATTCGGTAGGAAGACTAGTATTAAAAAACACGTTAAGATGCTCTGTCTAAAAAAATATATATATACACGGATTTTTTTAAATAATTAAATTTATCGTAGATTTTTAACTTGCTGTTAAGTCTTTTTTTGCAAAGCTCTTAAGGAGACTACAACATACATGAAATTGAGTTTTTAACATTTAGAAGTGAAAAAATATATATATATATTAATCACTAAGACATAGAATAAAACTTAGTGATACACATTCCAGAAATTTTTTTCAGAGAAAACCTTGATTATCGGGGAAATAAAATTAAATTTAGACAAATAATTAAATATATTTTGTGCTTTGATTTAAAGGCATGAATATAATCCCACAGGAAGGTGTGCATACATAGCTGAACAAATAAATAAAGAAAGAAATTTAAGCAAGTTTGGAAATAGATAACTATTCAGAGAGGTTTTTTTAAGTAAAGATTTTGATGTGCAATTAAATATTTCTAACAAATGCTTATTTACTGTTAAAATAAGACATAACTGTCGTTAGCTTCGAGATATATGCGTCATTCAAGATACTGAAATAAATTTCTATTTGTTAAACCACTGTAGAAATTGAAATTAATGGTGATATTTTTGCTACTATTTTTTCACATTTAGGAGGGTGAGTATGATGAGGAGAGCACCACTTTGTTATCTCGTTAGAACTATCAAATGGCAAAGTGGTCTTGTGGTACATAAAGTAAAGCTTAAGTGCTTTCACCAAAACCAGGATGAATTAAGTCGTTTATCTGATAATTTTTGTTTCATGCCGGCCAATAAAGTGTGTTTCGATACTTCATCAAGTAGTGTCGTCGTTATTCACTCCAAATCCACACGAACCCAACGAAATTGTTGATGGTGATCTAGCACCATGATATTGTTCTTGGTGGAAAACTTTCCTATGATATTGCTTATGAGTTTAATAATCTTATCTCAGCGAAACTGAGTGCGGCAGTCATGTTAGTCAAACAGTTAAGTGTAATAGGACCAGCACATGGGACGTGCCATTGTATGTGGTCAAAAACTAATACAAACAAGGCAACAACCACTGGTGTTGAGGATTTTTCCTAACAAACATCGAAAGCATTATTAGTACGTATCTGTTAACTCTTTCGCATCGATAGAAGTTAAAATCTGTTCTTCTCGAACGTTAGAACGTTAACAATAGCCTACTTAAGTGATCACTTCTTTCCTGGGGTAATTTATGTGGTTTCACCCAGTTTACGGTGTCTGAAAATTTCCCCTTAAGACAGGATTGCAAGTGCGAACATCAACAGCTAAACGCTGACGCTAAACAGAGGAGACAGAAGGTTAAATAAGACAATCATTCTAGTGTAAGTCGCTTCAGAGTAATTATTGGCACGCCATTTAAAAACTTCTGAAAGCAATTAGCCATGAACTAAGGTGATGGGGAAAAGCATTACGTAGAAAATGGACGAAGGCGTTTGGGTGACCTGCGATGTCTGAACGCTAGGGCGACTTCGCTTTGAAAGGGTTAATTTTGGAAATGCGTATCACACGATTCCGTTTTATGTATGACTATCACGCACCAAAAATTTAGACTCATATTAGATTCAATTTATATCAACTTGGTAGGTAGGTAGGTATGACGCGATCCACCCTTCTGGAAAGCCCAAGCTCAGCTTATGGCTTTTTTTGGACCGGCCACGAAGGAAAAACATAAAGGCCAACACAACATGAATGAACGAAGTCTCCAGAAGCTTATAAACTTGGTAGAAAGAAGACTCCAACTGATGGAAAGAATAAACTCGAAGCTTAGAATACACAGAAAAATCATCGAATATCGTGCTTCCACTAAGGTTTCTACTTAGTGCTTTAATCTTTCTCTGCAGGAAGTTTAAGAAAAAATGTAGCTACAGCTGTACCTTAAAACTTTCATACACAGATTGACTAAGAATATCGGTGACATTAAATTGATGGCATGAAGTTCCTTCCAGCTTTCATATGAGTAATCTTACGTAATTATCAATGGATAATCAATGCCAAAAAATGAAATATAACATTCTGCTTTGAGGAAAATCTGAGTTTAATTTCATTCACCTCATGACCCCATTCCCGTTCAAGTATTTCCAGCAAGACTCAGGACGTGATTTACAAACCGCTTACAGTTTTCAAACGTAACATATACCCAGCATATACTTCTGAAACTTGCAAAAGTTTACGATGTATTACAGTTTTGAATAATCCTCTTTTTAATGCTATTTTGCATAAGCTTCATTTGCTGCGTCTAATTAATCAATAAAAGAAGATATGACAGAAATTATATTTTTTAATTCGTGTTGTCAAATATAAAGTTTCATCATATCTTTTTAACAAAAACATATGAACTTTTCCCCGTTGTTAACAAAGTAACGTAAAGTACCAATAAATTATCAGTTAAGGACAAATCTCTCAATCGCGAATTAGCGAGCTAAAGTAGTTTAGAAATGTATTGAATAATATCGTAAAATTTAAATTGCAAGTAAATCAATAAAAAGTAGTTACGAAATATGATTATCCATATAATTTGCAGTTAAAGAATTCAATTACGGTATGCGTACATTTCATGTATACTTACTAAAATTATTACCAATTCTGACAGATACATTAAAACGCGTTCTTTTATAAAAAGCACATTTGAAGCTTATTACCATTTTCATGGGTTTTTACGATAGTGTCTTTCGAAGGCGGCCCAGCTCCTTTATTATTGAACGCTTGCACAGTTATGCTGTATTCAGTAGCTCTGCGAAGGTTGGTTATCGTGCATTCCATTGTTGAATCAAATTCACTTTCTTCAATGGTCTTGTAGATGTAATGGTCTTGAGAGTTCAGTACTTTATGTCCCACATAATAACCTCTGATTTTTCCATGAGTGCTTGATGTAGGAGGAGGCTAAAATAGAAGTATAGTGGAAGTTAGAATGAGTTAATATGTTTACACAATTTGTTTAAATCTACACACGTTTGATGATGAATATATACGAAAGTAATAATTTTAATAGTGTGATTTCAAAAATTAATTCAAAATGCTCGTTAAAATATTCAATTTATCGTATAGAACTATCAAAGACCGAGTAAAATTCACAGCAAAATTGGAAAGATACGTTTCAGAGTTTATTCAAACAGTTTAAAATAAACATAAAGAATTCAAAAGTATTTATAGTACTATACGTTCAGCTTCCGATTACCCAAGGGCTTAAACCAGGTCCGGAATAATGAAACGTTATCCAGGGAAAATTAAATTTGTTTACTGTTTACAATGCAAAGTGAAATAAAACAATGAATTTTAAATTAAAAGACGAAAATGCATGCGATATAATATTGATGAAAAAGAAGGTGCCATAGTCATTTATATCTTCTTTAGTTTTTAATAAGCTTTATTCTTCCCTTACTTATATGGTTTTCTTTACTTTTTAAATCTTGATTTAATTTACGTAACTAAATGAACTTAGTTTCCAGTTTAAAATTCTTGACTTTGCAGTCAGTTGAGCTAATCAAAGGAAATAAAGGGTATCATGCTATTGCAAAAAATCACATACATTTTCGGTTTTAAGTGGTAGTTTATATTTAGTCTATTCAGCAATAAAGCCTGTTTGTTTCAATATCACAAACTTGTTACCTGAAAGAACACATTCACCAATATATGCAATATATACCAATATATGGGCGTCCCAGTTCAATTTACGTGTTCCGCCCTAAGGCACTACATGGAAGGAGGGGATGCTTTCGTAGAGGAATTTCAAGGGAAATTGGCTCCTATTAAGGGGGCTCGTAAACCTTAGAAACCTTAAGACCTTCGAATACGTTGTAAGAATTGGGATAACTTATTTAATTTAAAAGCAATTGTATCCAACTTTTTACTGCTCACTGCATAATACAGCTGCTTTCAGAAATAGTAACCAGAAATTTTGTTTTGCCAGAAATATTTTTATAATTTTATCTGCGTTGTGATGAAATGTTTTATACGTTCACGTCATGTTTCTCTATCACTCGCATGAAATTTTAAAAATGTCTACTTTAAAAATGGAATTCTTTATATGGGCAGTATCTTCTAACTGAAGCAAAAATCTGATGAATATTAAAAAAAAAATTATGCATGAAAGCATTATAGGTTCTTTTAATAAAATACATTTTATATACTCAAATCCAAATAAAATAAGAATTTAGCATGATATTCTTAGAATTTTTGAGTTCACAGTAGTTTTAAAATGTTATAAAAGCTATTCATTAAATATGGTATTCCCAGCTATTGCAACAATGACATATGCTAAGATATTAAGTTTTTAAGGTGTACGACGCTAACACGCTATAAATGCGGAAACGCTCATGCAGGCAGCCCATTTGCGGGATTCGAACTTCGGACCGAGCGACCAGTGCTCAGGGACTTTACCGCTTGGCCGCTGGTGGACCAGCCCGAGAAATTGGGATAACGTTTTGATACAAGGGGACCTAATTTTCGGTTTAGCTTTGCGTTCACCACGCATCAGTTTAATTGTGTTTATGAATTGTCATATAAAACAAGATTTTATGTATTATTATAAAATGCTTTTTTCTGTCATGAGAATATTTAAAGACAACTGAACATTCATAAATAGTTACAGCTTCAATATATTGCCATATAAATAGTTTAAAGTACTGAACAAATTATACGTCTATGCACGGAATGCATAAAATATTTTGAAATAATCATATCAATGCAATATGAATCAGCAGAAAATATTAAATAATATTTCTTTGATCATTTAATTAATAAATAACGGATTAATTGCTCATCACATTATAGCCATCATACAACTCTCATATTTGAACCATCGTGAGAACCAAGTCAGATTTTAACTCCTTCACATCGATATATACCAAAATTTATTTCACTCAAACATCTGAAACGCCAACATATTTTGGTATTTTTGTTGAAATGGATTTCCTTCCCCTGTGTCAAGTAGAATGTTACAGCGCTAACAGTAACCTAATTAAATGAAGCGATAGCTTTTCTCTTACGATCTTCGTGAGCTTTCACAATTGTATGCAGCTTTCCCTTATGACAGGATTGCAACTGCGAACATCAATAGCTAAATATTGACGCTAAACAAAGGAGAAAGTTGGTGCATTCAAATAACAGAACTATCTTTAGTCGCTTTAAAGAAATGATTGACATGTCATTTAACAACTTTCGAAAGCAATGAGACATACATTAACGTGATGGGGGAAGCACTAGATAGAAAATGAGTCAGGCGTTCAGGCAACCAAAGGTTGAAAAAAAGAGCAGAAGACGATTACTTGGCTGAGAGAAAAGAATTCTTTAATGAAGATCCTTCTAAGAAAACTAACTTGTATTCAGTATTTTTTATATCTAATCGCAAGGCAAAGCAAGAAGTTCAGAACATAACAGAAGTGGACGAAAGCCATTTGCCTCAGCCAGTGTCTGGCACGCCAGTATCGGATTGTCTCGGTGTAGCTAAGAAGTGCCCCACAGAGACGATGTTGAGCTCTGTTCATGAGTTCCATAAGATCAGACAGTAGACAAAATCGTCGCACACCAATTCTGTAAAGACGTTCGCCCAGGCAATCATGGCCTGTAAGCAGCCAGAAATAGGCCACAAGATTACGTCGTGGATAATCTGGTTGGCGAGAATTACTAGTGTTCAGTAAGCTTTATGAATATAGCTACAGAAGAATTTTTTTTAATGCCTGGGTACTTTATAGTATTAGCCTTGAGTCCCTTACATGTGTTCGGAAGTGATGGCTCTTTCATTACGGAAGCACCTAATAGGTGACCACCGGTTGCCTCGAATGAACTGACGGATACATAAAACCATACCTTCTCCGGGACTCGAACCCGGGCCCATAGCTATGGCAGTCAGTGTCACTAACCACTATACCGGCTGGGTGGCACAGCCACAGAAGAAAAGCTACCAAAAACAGACACAAACCGGCAAAGGCAAAACGCATAATTGGTCTGATCGATTGATTTGTAGAGGACTGCCATAAAAATGCAATTTGCAATAAAATGCAAGGTTTCAAAACTAATGCTATAAAACGATGTGTGTACGTATTTTTAAACATAAAATGAGTGATTTATATGTTCTTTTGACAGTAATTGCATAACTCACTTAAGAAGACAAACATGAATAAATTAGGAATTTATATGAAAATATCACAATTTAAAATTAATTGCATTCATTCGGCAAAAGTTTAACAATTATACAGGTAAATGAATCCACAACTTTCTAATGTTTATAATTTAAAATCTTCTAAAATAATGTGGATTTTTTAATATACATTGGTGCAAAAGTAATATAATTTCTTTACCTACCTACCTTCCATATTACACGTATAGAGTGAGTACTAAGTGCTACAGCTTCCACATGCGTCGGTGGCTCACTAGGAACTTGAATTAAAAAAGAAAATGTAAAACTTCTTTTCTGCGCACAAAATAAAAATTAATACATTGCATAAAATTTATAAGTAATTATTTTTAATTTAAATCTATAACATTCATTTCATAATCTAATTTATTTTCTATGTGAATGCCACTTTTCGAACATGAAATATATCCCAAAATCTGCAGGAATTTTCAAAAAAGAACAAAAAATAACAGAAAAGCAAAATGAATCATTAATGATAAATTAAAATATTTTATACATTTGTCTCTCCATAAAATTCAACATTACATTTTTCTCTCCATAAAATTCAACATTTAATTTCAGAATTTATGTTTATGAAATAAAAGTGTCTTAAACAAAGTTTCGAAATAGAAATGTGTCTTCGTAATCAAATTACGGTGCTTTAAAATTCATTATGACCGAATTGAAAATAACATCGGCTTAAAATATCAAATTACTCGAAATTCATACTGAAAAAGAAGTCTCCTGTCAGAGGATATGTATTCAAGTAATTAACAAGAAAACTTGTAAATAAAGAACAATTTCAGTGTCAAATTTCAACATTTTGAAATGCAGATTTTAAAATAACATACTGTTCTTTTAATATACTCGTATATAGGATTTAATGTAATTTGATCTAACAAAGGATTTTTTAATAATTTCTTTAACAATTATTTTTTTAACTTCCGATTTTAAGTCTTTATCCTTCTTACATATAAACCTATTATATTTTCAAACTGAGTGAGTTAATTACACAAATTGCTCTGGAACAGGTCGTAGAGACCTTATTTTGCACTAATCAATTATTTTTATTTTAAGAATTTTCCTTTCCCTTCTGATTTCAAGTTCCAGCCAGAATGCAAATTTAAACTATGTATGTGCAAAATATCAATGAGTTCGGAAGTGGTATTTAAATAGCAGAATTTAAAAGTTGTGTAACATTTGTATCATAGTCTCCGTTCAGACGGTGATACAAATGCCATAACTTGTTTAGCCGAGCTTTGTTACCAGGTTCCCAGTCCTCGCTCCGTCACAAAAGCTGGTTTAGGGACTTTTGCATAAAGTTCGAAGTTTTTAACTTTATGCCGACTTAGTATAAGAGCAGACCAATCAGAGCAAACTCTCGAAACCTACTAAGTAAGAAAGCAGAGCGGGAAATCTGCTGATACATCCACACATACGCAAATTCAGTTTCTCTAATGGTCAACGGCTTGGACCCTGTCTCGCAGGGCTTCCCAATTTTGAACAGAGCTTCCCAGGTTTATGCCTTATGACTATACTTCTATGACATTTATATCACCTTCTGAACGGAGCCTTAGATGTAAAAACGTTCGGTAGGCCTACAGCCGGTAAGCCATGAACGAGTTTATGCCGCGAGTGAGATTTATGCCGCGCGTTTGCAAGTAACAGTGTGGTTGAATATTTGTACTAGGCAGGTACTTGCTTTTAGCTATTTGATATTTCAGACTAGACTATGCTGTGTGCAGCCGATAAATTTGATTTAAATTGAAGTAGGAGCCAGTCGTGTAGTTAAAACTCAATTCATTCTGATTGTATACACTATTTTGTGTTTGTCGCCATAAGTAGTGCTTAGTTTATGAGCACCGAGTGTGTGCGTGTTTTGTTTAGTTTAGTTAAAATAAAAAAAGTTCTTAAAACCTTCGTCGGCAATTACCTGTTTTTTCAAGACATAGCGAGGATTCGCTATCTCGTGTTTAGTCTACGTTTTGTGCTCCCTAAAAGAATAAGACTACAAGTGCAGCCGATTTCCTTCTTCTGACTCAAACAAGAACTACTGTATAAATCCCTTTAGAATACAGTGGGTGTGGACATGATTGCCGTTTGGCACGATGAGATCTCGTGTCCTCATATCTTTGGTAATTATAACCATTTTTCCTTGAGAGCCGTTAAGTTGTTCAGGGTTTGTGAATGGTAATCTTGCTAACAGATGGCAGCGACAGATTACATCGTGTGTAAATCTTAATGTCCATTGCTTGTCTGACAATGCTAAGGCAGAAATCGGAAACTTACTGGCCGCTGCATGACAATTCAAACCCCAAAGTAAAAGCATTCGTAGGCTTAAAACCAACCCTTTATTATGGCCAGCAAAGTTGCCGCAGAATCCCTGCGCTGTTGCTACCTTTTTTCCAATTTCAGATATAGCTTGAAATTTGCAGCAAGAGATCTCTTCGAATATAGAGGGGTAGCTGAGGCGTATGTTTCGCCTTAGTTTGCGGGAGGGGGAGACCGTAAAGGTCCAATATGTGAATTCTGCTTATGGGGAAACGCTACTTGGGATTTGTTAATGTCGTCGTTCTTATACACTGGTGAAATAAAATAAGAGAATTTGCATATTTTTCGAATTGCATGAAAAGAACAGAACTGAAGGAAACAACCACTGCTTCTAGATAAAATTGCAAATATTGTACGGTAAATATGTAAGCGTACACCTCTGTGTACGCGGAGTCAGCAAAAAAACAGTCTTTATAAGCGCGTGGAGGGTAAGACAAATTGCATTCGCTAGCACACCTCGGCGAATTTCTTGGAATCTTGCAGCAATCGGTTAAAGCAAGATGATGGAATCAGGGGGCGAATTGTGGGCAGGCTAGAGGGAGGCCAATCGCAGGTCCAAATATACAGAAAGTTTAATTACGCCCAGCGTCGTGTGTAACCTATGGAAACAGTTCCAGAATACTGGATCCATCGAGAAAGAGCCTGGGAAGGTCGTCCAACAGCAACGACGGCCAGAGAAGATCGCTATGTGTCCATTTTAGCGAGTAGTAACAGAGGGACTACACCTTCTCAGCTCTCTCGGGACCTGTATACAGCCACCGGAACCCGTGTAACAAGAATGACTGTTTCCAAAAGACTGAATGCGAGAGGTTTGTTTGCCAGAAGACCGGCTGTTTGCGTCCCACTCACGTCTATGCACAGAAGAGTCCGATTAGCATGGTGCAAGCGACATAGTGATTGGAGTACGGAGCAATGGGCGACCGTTCTGCTCACCTACGAGTCCCGTTTTAGCTTAACCACCGATTCGCAACGTACTTTCATATGGAGGGAGACAGGGACCTGCTACCTACCCTCCAATGTCCGCGAAATCAACAATTATGGCGGTAGCGGTGTAATGGTCTGGGCAGGCATCATGTTGGATGCCCGCACACCTCTCCACGTCTTTGAAAGAGGCTGTGTGACTGGTGTGGGGGATATAGATGAAGTCTTGGTGCCCTATGATCGCCTGTTCCGGGGTGCAGTGGGCACGGGTTCATCTTACAGGACGATAATGCGAGGCCACATAGAGAGAGCGCTTCTCGTCGACGAATTTCTCCAGAGTGAGAATATGCGCCGGATGTTTTGGCCAGCCAGATCTCCAGACCTCAACCCTATACAGCATGGGATGATCTGGGAGAGGCAATTGCAACTTGAAACGCTCACCCGAGAACCCTCCAGAAACTGAAAACAGCGTTGTTGAATGAGTGAGAACAATTGTCACAGGCACTAATAAACTGCCTTATTTCCAGAATGACGTCACGCTGCGAGGCCTGTCTGGCTGTAAGAGTCGACCATACCCCCTATTAACCCACTTATTTTGTGTCTTCTGTAACCGCTGTTTCAGACCTTCAGACTCCTATGTGTGTTACACACGAACATGTGTGTCTATTATAACTGATGAGTATTTATTTTATTTGTATTATATCAAACTATGTTCACACCAAATTTTATTAAAATCTGTTCAGTGGTTCTGGAGATCGTAGATCAAATATGAAAATTCTCTTAATTTCTTACATCAGTGTAGATCGCACCAGTAATGTTGATGGATATTACTACCGTGCTACTGGCGAACCGCTAACTCGAGATACTTCAGGTGATGAAAAAACGACTAAAACAATCAAGGCAGAAATGAACTTTAGCCTAAAACGTTGAGGAAGCATGCCTTTTTTCAAGCAATCAAAGTCATCTCAAGACTCATTCCCTTTCTCAATAAATTTAGTCCATCTGATAAAGCTAAAAATCCGGTTTCCTTTTTGATTTATGCAGTAATTTGGTTTTATTATCTATCCTTTGAGCAAATATGTATTATTCATAATTCAATTTCCAAACTTAATAGTTAGAAATCTATTCCTAAGTCAGAAATAGTTGCTCTTTACATAAAAGAAAATATCATAACCCAGAAAAAATTCCCCTTCTAAACTTCTTGTTAAATTAATTTTCATCTGTTGCGTTGCAAATTTTATCTTCAGATTGAGTTCATTTAACTAGTTTTACTTATGAATGCGGAAGATGGATTAATTAAAAAATATCAGTATTATTACTTTGATTAAATATGCCTGTGGATAAAATGGGAATTAAATCTCAAAGAAAATAGAGGCAAGCAGTAAGTAAAAGAAATATATATGTACGATCATGTTCACTTTATTTTAGATAAAATGGTTTCCGAAAGTTAGTAGTTACTTATTTTAAAAGCGTGCATATATTATAAGATTCGGATATCAATGCATAAAATAACATATTTATGATTATGATGCAATTTTCTTTCAGTTTATTCAAAAAGAATAGACGAGTGCATTTATGGAACTTATTTTAAATTCAATTTAAATCCATAAATTACGCTTCTAAAATATGAATATTGCTTAGGAAACTATTTGGAAATTTAATAAAATTGTTTCAATACCATCTACTAAACGAATTTTTATTATATTCTTTCACTGTATCCGCGTGCACATTAAGTATTAATTTTTAAAAGAGTGGAATTATATTACAGAATGCCGACTTGTAATATTGACTTTTATATCTATTTTATATTTATTCAGACCATCTTTACTGTTCTTTGGAAAATTGAAATTTTGAATTGGAATTTGCAGTTGGAATTTCAATTTCGAACATATGGAACTGTAATTTTGAATAAAATCTACAGATGAAAAAAAATCAGAAATTGGTTTTATTTCTCGAAATGCAGAAATGGTCTTGAAATCCGAAATTAATTCAGTATTTAATTAAATATTCT